AAAAAAAAAAAACCAAAAAAAATAAAAAAATAAAAAAATAAACTTCTACATGCATGTACACACAAGTCCATAAATAAATGAAATTTCTTGGAACTATCCTCTAAATTGTTTTAGCATAGTAACAGTTTCTTTAGATGCTGTTATAAATCCCTCCACTTGGGCCAGTGTGACCACTCAGCAGACAGAGGCACCTGCCCCCAACCCTGACGAAGGGCCCAGTCCCTGGGACAGACTCTATTCCTTGCTAACTCTATACTGCCTTTTCAATGCTTCTCTCTTCCGATTTGTAAATAACAGCTTGGATTTTTGCTACAACAGTATTATTTTAGCTGGCTATGGTGGCACATACTTAAATGCCAAGACTTGGAAGGTGGGGGCAGAAGGAGCAGGAGCCACTTTTGAAACATCTCATAAATCGAGACTATAAATGTTTCTCTTCTCTGAAGGCATGCAGATCCCAGGTATTGAACTCAGGTCAGTGGTGGATACCGAGAACCAACTTTCCAAAGCTGTCCTCTGACCTCCGAGTTATGGGCATGTGTGCACAAGCAGGTGCAATAATACATCACAATGTTTTAGAAAAAGGAAACCTCAAAATTTCTTTAAAAAAAAAAAAAACCGTGTGTGTGTGTGTGTGTGTGTGTGTGTGTGTGTGTGTGTGTGTACACCAAACAGAAAATATCAAGTAACAGTCAACTGGCAAGTGTGACTTTTTCCCCCCAACAGTGCTAAGGACCTAACCCCACACAGATAAACTCTACCATCAAGCTAAAGGGGGGGGGGGGGCTGCAAATGACTTTTTAAAATGCAAACAGTGGGCCGAAGGATGGCTCAGCAGTTAAGAGCAGCACTTGAGGCTGTGACAGAGGTACCAAGCGCAGTCCCAGCACCCATATAAATAAATCTTTCAAACAAAAAACTAACTCTCAATCTAGGGGTGACTCTAATCAAATATATGAATATAAGACTCTACCTCATGTTTCTATAAATCCTGTTAAAACAGGTTATTCATGGAGAAATTCAATTATTGTTTTAAGAATCTACTGACTTCCTGGTGGTGGTGGTGGTGGTGGTGGTGGTGGTGGTGGTGGTGGTGGTGGTGGTTGCTCCTTTAATCCCAGCACTTGGGAGGAAGAGGCAGAGGGATCTCTGAGAGTTCAAGGCCAGCCTGGACTACAGAGTGAGTTCCAGGACAGCCAGAGCTACACAGAGAAACCCTGTCTCAAGAAAAAAAAAAAAATCTACTGACGAACAGGAGTTAAACCAACCCCTAGGATGTGGCTGTGGACGCTTGTTTGTAAGGACTTCAAGAACCCTGTATTCACACATGTTAGAGGACAATTCTCCAGCACTGCTTCTCTCCTGCAACACAGGTTCTGGGCACTCAACTCACGTCCTCAGCCTTAGGGCAAGTGCCCTTACCCCTGAGCCTCTCCCTGAGCACCCTCACCTGGATTTTTTTTTTTTTTTCCCCCGAGACAGGGTATTATGTAGCTCAGGCTGGCTTGGACTAGACTATGTTGTTTTCTTTTAAATTTTTGTTTACACTGTAAAGATGTATCTCTGCCTAAGGCGCCTTCTAATTGGTTTAATAAAGAACTAAATGGCCAATAGCTAGGCAGGAGAGAATGGACAGGACTTCTGGGCAGAGAGAAAAACTAGACGAGGAATCTAGGCAGATGGATTTCACCAGCGGACTTAGAGCAAGTAGGATGGTGCCATACTAAGAAGTAACCGAGCCACATGGCAGAACATAGATTAAAAAAATATTGGTTAATTAAGTTATGAGCTAGTTAGGAAAGAGCCTAACCTAAGGCCAAGCTTTCATAATTAATATTAAGTCTCAATACCATTATTGGGGAGCTAGCAGTCCCACAAAAGACAGTCCAACAAAGTTTGCTACACTATGTAGCCAAGAATGACCTTTAATTCCTGCTCTTTCTACCTCCATCTCCGAGTGCTAGGGTTAAAGTATGAGCCACCCGAGCCAGCTAAAATAATACTGTTTTAACAAAAATCCAAACTATTACTTAAAAATCAAAAGAGAAAAAAACAAGTTGAAAAGATAATTTAGATTTCGCAAGCAATATAGTCTGTTTCCACCTCAAAGGCATTAATTACACCAAGCTTTAGGCCAATATCTCAGACATTTTCTAATTACCTTTAAATAGCATTAAAGCACATATAAAAAGTTTTTAATGACTTATTGGAATTCAGAACTAAAAACATAAATGAACTCAGGAAGATATTCTTTTACTGAACTATACTCACACAAGAGGAAAAACATGACTTTAGTGGCCTATCGAGTAGTGAGTTTTCTTTCATATTTTTATACAAACTGTATTATCATCTCTGAATAGAACTGTTTAAAACTCTCCAAATTTGGGGTGATGAGATGGCTCAGCCTGATAAATTGAGTTTAATCCTGGAACCCAGATGCTGAAACTAGAAATCAGTTCCCAAAGTTGTCCTCTGATTTCCACATGCACGCGCGTGCGCGCGCGCGCGCGCACACACACACACATGCACTCTCTCTCTCTCTCTCTGAGACCAAGGAAACGTCTCAAAATGAAACTTACAACCAGAAAGTTATTTTAACAAAAGCACAATGACATATGAAATCCAAACAGGCAGTTCACATCTTATTCTCCCACCCAGTCAGTCACATGGTACAGAAACAGCTTTAAAGAAGATAAACATTTATAGTCTCCTCAATTTACGAGATGTTTCATAACTGACTCAACCAAGCTATGGGTTAATATCAGTATTCCTAATTCACATTCATTCGACAAATATGTATTTACATAATCACAATTATCATGACCAGGGTTCCATTTCCCGCCACCTTTTATTTCTTAGCAAAGACAGCTACAGATGTTTTGAAGTTCACCCGTGAAGTTTTCACACAAACCGACGTCAGCAAATGGCTGGATACAGATGTCACTACAGCGACCCCAGAGAAAGATGATGGAGGAACGCACTTACGTTTCAAAACAGCGATCCACATTGTCAGACATCAAAAGCAGCATGCAGAGCTGTTCCAGGGCTATTAGCTGCATGTCCCTTTCATCTCCCTGTCCCATCTGCAGCCATTCCAGCAACGTATCGGGATCCACGTCCGCCATGGTCTTTAAAATGCCTCTCTGCCTAAATTAAAAAAGGAAAAAGGGTTTTCAAATGCTCAGAACTGATCAGCCTGTGTTTAAACCAAGTTTTTGTAAGGTCCTCAAACTAGTACACACACACATACGTGTACACACACACACACACAGAGTCGTTCTCTGATTTCCATATGTGCACCATGGCATGCACATACCCACACACATACAAGAATAAATAAATACACATGATTTTAAAAAAAACTTTCCAAACTTCAAAACTCCTGTATTACCTCAAAAAGTATGCTATAGGTAGCAGCAGTTTTCAACGTTCCTCTACTTCCCTGGGCTTACAGTTCAGGTACACTAAACACAAAACAGTTTTAACACAAGAGTACATGCTGATGAGGTTGCTAGTTAACTAGAAACCAGAGCTGTCTTTGTCAAGCAAGCTTTGGATCTCACTACTGTTATCACCAATGTCGGTGCCAAAAAGCAAAGAACGCCTACAAAAAAGTTCTTTTGCCAGCGAACGTCTCCCTGCAAATAAACAAAACAAAACAAACAAAACTGGGCTTCAGGTACGGGTCAGATCCAGCACTTTTAAGGAAACTACACATTCCCCTTCAAAAGTGACTGTCTCCTGTCGCAACTACTTCACAAATACTGAATTCTCAAGCTTACTCCAAAATATGTCCAAATTACAAACAGTAACTATGAAATCTACCTGGGGTGGGGGGAGGGAGTACTGGTTAGAACTTCTGGCAGCCTTGGCAAGTGTTCTTAAAACTTTCTTTTTTTTTAATGCTTATAAAGTAAATGCAACTTAACAGGTTACCAAGGTGGGGGGGGGGGTAGGGGGAAAATGGGCCACTCTCGGTTCCCACAAGATGGGGCAGTTAGTTTTTTAATTTAAAAAAAAATCGAGAAGTAGTCTAGGTACGGCGAGTCATTCCAAAAGCGCCTGACCGAAGGACGGCCAGCCAGCCAGCCTTGGGTCCCACGCCATCCACCTGCCGGTGTGGGAACCGAGAGGCGGGTCGCGGTGGGCACCCATCGGCGGCGCCCGGCGGGGCTGCCCCGCCACCCTAGGCCTGCCCAAGGCCGGAGCCGAGCGGCTGCCACCCGACCCGGCCCGGCCCGGCCGGCCGAGTTAGCTACCTGCCCGGGGGAGGAGGGCGAAGTCCTGGAGCAGCCCAAGCCTGCGTGCTCCAGGGGAAGCAGCCGAGCGGCCGGGCTGCGGGGGCTCCCGGAACTCGGGAGGCCCAGCGGGACGTCCCCGGTCCCCGCCGGGCAGCAGAGCCTGATCAAGGGCAAGGGGAGCGCGGCCGGAGCTCCGGGGCCAGCAAGCCAAGCCCCGGAGGGCCCAGGGAGG